CCAACCGTGCAGATCAGCTAAAATTCAGTGCTGGAAAGTTCCTCGACTTCATTTTTGTATCAGAGGAAAAGATTTCCTTTTGCCAGCCTGGAATTTCTTGCTCATCCTGGAGTTATCGAAGTGCGGAGAAAGATTGAGCTTCAATCTGCGTTTACTTCCACTGAGATCGACAGGGTGCTATCCACGGGTAAATGGGCATAGATTTCAGCTGCTGCCTTAATCTTTTCAGAAACTGCTGTTGATTTACTTAATTGTAGAAAGGATTAAGGCCAGAATGGGTGGATTTGGAGAGAGTTGGTGGCCGAGAACGGCAAGCAGCAGAATCAGAAATTGCTGCCGAGGCAGGCATTCCTGATACAAAAGCACATTCTTCGGGTGGTAAAACGTGTGCAGATAGTGGCTTGACTGGTAGCTGAACACGGGCAGCATGGAAACATTGCAGAAACGGCCAAAGACTTCAGGTTTCCTGAAAGGGTGTGTATGAAATCAACCCAGCTCAAGACTAGACAGGAGGGTGGCAATCAATCCACCATCGCCAGCAAACTCCCTTCCCTCCACAGTGCCAGTTGATGAGCTGTTTTGAAAATTGGCATGGCGAATTCTCAGAATTGGGTAGCTGTAAACCAAACCCTTCAACATCGGTGCGTTATGAGGCTGACTACAATTTGCTTACTTAATAAAAAAATTAATTAAAATAAGGACAAGAAAGAGGGCAGAAAGGATGTCCCTTTTCTTGTAAGTTTGTATAAGTGCGGCTTTCCTTTTATTAAGCAATTCGGCTTCTTAAGAGGCGCTTGTTAATTGCAGCAAAAATGGCCACTATGGAAAAGTAATTGGGTTTTATTCCTTTAGATGAATATGATGGGGTTGACGATGATTCAAAATAAAGCCGTGCTGGTACCAATTGTCGCCAAGTTGGCTTGAAGTGTAACTCTTTTAACCCAGGCATCTGGCTGGGAGTGATGGGAACTGTAATCCAACAATTCTGTCAGGGTTTGGGGGAAATCTAGAAGCTGTTTGGCAAGATTGAGAGAGTTCACTAGAAGGCAAATTATTAAGGTGGTCTGACTGCTTCTTTATTTACAAAGTTACAGTTTATTTTAACGTTTATTGGGCGCAATGCCGAAGAAATAATAGGTTTTTTTTAAAAAAAAAATTCATTAGGTAAAATTATAAGCGACTTCTTTCGTTTGTGGGAGCTGAGTGGAATTTCCAGACCCGGGAAGTTTATAAATAATGAAAAATGATTTGATTCTGAATTTTCTAATTTGTCACTTTTGGATCAAGGGCTTGTTAGAATTAATGGATCTTAGCTGGAGATGAGAGTGCTCACACTTCTTTTTTCTTTTTCGTTATCAAAATTCTGTTACGCCCTACAAAATAATAATAATCAAAATGCAAAACTCAACCAGCTGATGCGATCAGTCTATTTTAGTTTATTTTTAGTTTAGCATATATCTTAAAGAGTTTAGTTTAGTTTAGTTTAGCTTTAATTTAGGTTTAGTTTAGTTTAATCATTCTCCCGTAGGCAAAAAAGACGAAGAAACCATCTTGCTATCTGCAATATTTTGTAGGTTTTCCTACTTTTTCTGTGAAATCCTACCTCAGAATCCCTCATTATTTTCTAGATACGCACCCTAACCACAAAGGAAGCACAGGTCTCTTCTTTCCCCCAAACCACCCAGATTCCTTGAATACGACTTCTTGTTAAAAATAAAAAAAAGCCCTCCCATCTTCCACTCCACGTACCTCTGTGGGTTCGTTGTAATACGAGGTCCACTCGGAGATATCGTGCGATTCCATTTTGACCGAGCCCAGCATTCCAAAATTCCGGAGAGGAAAAATAATGGCTTGTCCGTGCTTAAAATTTCAAGGAGAGCGGGAAATCCTGGAATTGGTTTCTCGGGGAAGTTGAATGCTTTATTTTAAGGCTCGTCTTCTTCTCCCAAATGCCTTCGTTTTGAAACTCAGCCTAAACCCACAGCCTGAAAGATTGATCTCAGAATGGACTGCCTTCCTCTTTTTTTTCCCAAAGTGTGCAGTGGCACTTTGGGAGCCAAAGACTCAAGGTGCCCAGAAGTCAGGCGAGTCAACAGGTTTCCATGATTATAGGACAATCCAATTTTGGGACCCAAGGTCCAGGGTGATTTTCAGAGGGCTGCCTTTGGGATGTGCAAGCTGTTCGCGTCGGTTGAAACCTGAATGGCTAGTTGTCCCGAGGTCGTCTCTTAGTATCTGAAGGGCTGTCACCTGGACAGGTCTGAGTCTTTATAAAGCTACCTCTTTATCCCAACACTCCTCCTGCTGGTGGACAGTTAAAAAGTTAGTTATCTGTCCTTGGCCAGCTAGGGAAACCAGGTCCCTCTGCCACCTGGTGGAAGGGACACCGTTGCAAGAATGTGGGTGGCCCAAGGATGTCACAACCAAAGGCTTGGTGCAACTTTATGGAGCGGCAACCTCTATGAAGGGGAACATCTGGCTACTGTTTGGTGTCAGGTCGCTAGATAGCTTGGTGGTGACCAAAAGATTGCAGCTTACGGTATATTAAATTTATTTCACGTTGTACATACTGTAATTTCTGCTCCACACCAAGCAGGGACGTATTGGCTATCTCTAGTCTAAGGAAGAGAAGGATTAGTGGTGAGATGACAGCCATCTTCCAATATCTAGGGTCTGCCACAGAGAAGAGGGGGTCAACCTATTCTCCAAAGCAGGATAAGAAGCAACGGATGGAAACTAATGCAGGAGGCATCCAGCCTGGAACTAAGGACAAATTTCCTGAAAGTGAGAACAACTAACCAGTGGAACGACTTCCCTCCAGAGGTTGTGGGTGCTCCAACACTGGAAGTTTTAAAGAAAAGATTAGACTTACCACTATTCATTTCAATCAACCAGAATAGAGCTGGACGGGACCTTGGAGGTCTTCTAGTCCAGCCCCCTGCTCACGCAGGAGATCCTATACCATTTCGGTCGTGTGGCTGTCTAGTCTTTTCTTGAAGACCTTGAGTGATGGAGCACCCACAATTTCTGAAGGCCAAAGCTGTTCCACTAGTTAATTCTCCTCACTGTCAGGAAGTTTCTCCTTAATTCCAAGTTGCTTCTCTCCTTGACTGGTTTCCATCCATTGTTCCTTGCGTTGTCTTCTGGTGCTTTGGAAAATAGTTCATGACTGTTTGTAGTTACAGTGGCCCTGAAAAAAGTGACCTATGATCATTTTTCACACTTACGATCGTCGATTAAGGGGCTTAAATCAGAACTTGGGACTCTTGGCAACTGGTTCCTATTTATGACGGTCGCAGTGTCCTGGGGTCACACGTGATCCCGTTTTTGCCACCGTCTGACAACCAAAGTCAAACGGGAACCCAGATTCACTTAACAGCCGTGTCCGTAACTTAACAACTTGCAGTGATTCACGTAATAACTGAGGCCCAAAAGGTCATTAAAATGAGGCAAACCTCACTTAACAACCGTCTCGCTTAGCAAAGGAAATTTGGGGCTGAGTTGTGATCGTAATTTCGAGGACTACCTCTACTGAAAACAGCTCAATATAGAGGCATCCACAGGAAGAGGTCAAAAAGGAAAGAGGTTGGCTATCACCAGGGGTCAAACCCCTGCCCTTTTCTTATGTTTGTCCGTGACACGATTTCACAAAATGAGCTGAATGAAAGCTGCTGCCTTTTAATAGTGTGTGAGAATAGTTGGTGTTGTTCTTATTTTTGGCTTTTCTGGACTCCTTCTCCTCGCTCTCCTTCTACCACACAAGCCAAAGGACGATTCCACAAGATTTTTAAGACTTGTGGACTTCAACTCCCAGAATTCTGGGACTTGAAGTCCATAAGTCTTAAAGTGGCCAAGTCTGGAGACCCTTGCTTGTAGATCCTTGATTGCGGAGGACTGATGAGAAGGATCCATTTCCCACATGCTCCAAGAGATCTGTCCAGCTTCAGCTGTCCAGGTTAAGGTCACGGAGGTGGATAGGTGAGCAAGCCAGCTGGGAGAAGACACCTGGTTCTTCCTCCAACAGTTGAGCAAGTTGTCTTTTCAGATTGCTGCTTTCGGTGGTCTGAGCTGGTGAAACCATTTCTTGCAGCAGAGCTGATGTTCAGTAACATGGTGAGCGTCACAGCTTCATCAGCCAGGGCTCAGAGGTTCTCCCTTTTCTAGGGTAGCTTTGGCTAGCCTGGTCTTCCAGGTTGAGACTCAGAACTTGTTCTAGAAGTTGCAGGAACTGGGAACGTCTAGTCTAATGAAGAGAAGGACCAGGGATGACATGATAGCAGTCTTCCAGTATCTGAAGGGCTGCCACAAGGAAGAGGGGGTCAACCTATCCTCCAAAGTTATCTGAAGGCAGAAGCAGCAATAGATGGAAACTAATTGAGGAGAGAATCAACCTAGAAGGAGAAATTTCCTGACAATGTGAACAATTAATCAGTGGACCAGCTTGCCACCGGAACTTGTGAGGGCTCCATCACTGGAGGTGTTCAAGAAAAGATTGAATAGCTGGAATGGAACAAGGCAGAGGTGTCCAACCGTGGCAACTTCCAAGACTTGTGGACTTCAACTACCAGAATTCCCCAGCCAGCATGGATTTCCTACTTGATCAGGGGCTTGGACTAAAAGATCTCCAAGATCTCTTCCAACTCTGTTATTTTATAATCCTCCTATCCCTTCCGCCCTTTGCTCCTGCCCATGGTATGTGAGATCGTTGATTGTCTCAGGAACTGCCTGTTTGCTGCAGACACGGCCTTTACAAGAAAACGGTGAACGTTATGAGGACTCCTGCTCAGGTAGCATCAGTGTCTATCCTCTTCTGGGGATGATTGTCCATGAAAGGTGATAGAGACCAGAGGCCCATCACTGAAGCCCCTGCCATAACCTTCCTGAGAAATTTGTGGGGAGAACAAACTAAACAAAGGATAACTTCAGACAGCCAGCAAAGTTGTACGTGTGTGTGTGTCAGTACATACGCAGACACACAATATCAGAGAAGGAGAGGAATCCATGGGAGAAAAAAAAGATAACCAAGTTTATTGACAGAGACAAGTAAAATACAAAAACAAATTTAACCTCCTCTCCCCTTCACCCCAAAGTCTTCCACGTGGGAATCTGATTCCCACACTTTCTCCTGTCCGACCTCTTCCCCTGTTGCAACACAAACACACACCAAAGTCGGCAGAACCACCAACAAGTGAACAGATGTGGAACCACACACACACACACAAACAGATCAGAGGTTATGGGGTAGTGCCTGTATTTTAGTCCCCTGTACCTCCAAATCCCATCACACTGAGTGTGCCATTTCTCCCCCCTCCCCTTTATGGATTTATGGCCACCTTTCTTTAATTAAGAATCTGATTTTTTTTTCCTCTCCACCTAACACCATCTCTCTACTTAAGAGTCAGGAAACCAACAGACCCAGGAGATTCTTCTGTAGGAGGCAAGGAAGCAGAACTGAACTTGGGTGTGTGTGTGTTTTTTTGCCCAGTGCCATCCTGAGCAAGGCTTAAACAGCTCCCCAGAGCAGTCTCCCATCCAATCTGAGCCCGTGCCCATTATTCTCAGCCTTGGCTGGCTGAGGAGAATGGGTGTGGAAACTCTACTCATCTGTAAGGTATGAATACATCTGAAGATGTGTTCTCTACGCTTCTCTTATTCATTCAAGAGACGCTCATGCGGCAGAAAGAAAGTAGCAGTGGATTGGGTCTGTATTAAGTGTTTTCCTCCGCACACGCCTCTTAATCCTGACCTTTCTTGGACCTTCTCTACTCTCTTCCACCCAACAAATTCTGCATTTTAACAAAAAACAAACAAACCCCAACCCTTATTTTTGGTGTGCATGCTTAGTCTTTTGGTATGAAAAATACCCCCCCCCCTGCCTAACTTTAAGATCAACACGCGAGGCACTTTTTCCATCTCTCCTTCTTCCTGCTACACTGCTTCCTCCTAATTTTCTAGACCCCCCCTTCTCCTCCTCCTCCTCTCCCCCCCAACCATTCCCACACAGCATGCCTCCTTCCCTTCCCCTCCCTGGATCCACCCAGCATCCAAACCCAGTTAGTTTCAGACTCCTGAACTTCCCAACGAAGGTGCACAGATTCAGAACAGTGTCCAGCGACGAGCTGTGATGGCCGGGCCATGAGAATGACATGTACAGAGACTGGCCATCCAACAGGGAGGAGGCCTCTGAATGAAGCGGAACAGGGGAACGTGAGCAAGTGAAGCTGCAACCAGGTTTAAGTAGCACCTAGTGGACCGATGTGGGGCTGGGGAAGTTTTGGTTCGGGAAAGAGTCAAACATCAAGACATCGGAGAAAGTCGGCTGTGGCATCTTCGTGGCAGGCGAGATGCTCCAAGAGACTTCTGAACTCGTCAACCCCGCATTTCAGTCTCTCCTTCCCGCCCCGCAAGTGCGTAGTCCGTCCACCCAAACCCCTCGCCCACCCCTTCCCCTGTAGTAGGTTACGTAGATGTGATTTCAGATATAAGCTGGCTATGGAAACAGGATTTAAAAAATAGAACTATATACAGCCCCCCGCAAATCCACAGCGGGTTACAGAGGATGTCCGAGGGGGAATAAGTTACTCCAGTCCCTGCCCTGGCCGCAGGAGCCAAGGCAGGCAGGGGGCATGCCACGGCACACACCGTCCCGGATCGTAGCCTCTCCTCTTGGCCGGCTTCACGGATCGCGCTCCTTTTTTACTTTGACATCCCCCGCCAGGATGGTGGCGATCTCGCCCTGCATGAAGGCCCAGGGCACATTGGAGCCCACCAGGGGGCACTTCTCCCCGCTGGGGCAATAGACCTCGCCGGCAGCTCCTTGGGCCTTAATGAAATCCCGCGAACAGGGGAAGCAGAACTTGTGGCCCGGGACCGAGGGACACTGCACAAAGTGGGTGTCCTCCAGCCGCTCGTGGCAGATGGTGCAGCAGAGCGGGGCGCTGCCCGCCCCTCCGGACGAGTCGGGGGCGCTCTGGGTGCCGCTGGGCTCGGCTGCCCCGGAAGAGTGGGCTCCAGACGATGAAGACGAGGAGGAAGAGGAGGAGGAAGAAGAAGTGGTGGTGGCCGCTTGGCCCGGCTCGCCGTTGCGAGGCACCAGGCGGTGGGGTCCCGAAGCGGCCGGCGAGGCCGGGCTGGTGCTGTTCTGCCGGGCGGTGGTGGAGTGCACAGGGTTGAGCTCCTTGCCGCCCAGCGTGTCGGCCACGTTCTTCAGGGCCGTGATGGGCGAGGGGTCGTTGCGCAGGGAGCCCTCGGGCAAGCCAGCCTGGGTGGGCAGGTGGGTCAAGCCCGGCGGCGGGTACAACCCGGTGGCCGCCGAGGATCCCGGGGGCATCCAGTGCTGGCGCTGCTGCTGCAGCTGCTCCTCGCCCGTCAGCTTCCCGGCCGCCAGCTCCCCCTCGGGCTCCGGGGAGGCCTTGCGGCGTCGCAAGCCCGGGCGGGCAGGTGGCGCAGCCCGCAGCAGCACGTTGGGCGGCCCGGCAACGGCGGCGGCGTCGAGGAACTGCTGGGGCAGCGCGTCGGGCGCGGGCGGCTCGCGGAAGTAGCGCACGGCCTCGGTGAAGAGCTCGGCCAGGAGGCGCCAGTCGCCCGAGCCGTGCCGCTTCTCGTACTCCAGGTACTTGTAGCCGGAGGACAGCACTTTGCCCGGCTCCTTCAGGCAGTCCTGGAACATCTGCTTGGCCACGGCCAGCACGCCGGCGAAGACGTTGCCCGAGCCGCAGGGGTACTCGGCGAAGAGCTTCAGCTCGTACTCGTAGCCCGGCCGGGCGGCGGCGTCGAAGGCGAAGATGCGCCCGGTCAGCGAGTGGTCCTTCTTGAAGCGCACGGTGAAGGGCGCGCAGCCGCACAGCGCCAGCAGCTGCTCCCGCACCGCCTTGGGCTTGCCGTGCCACTCCTCGGCGCGGGCCCGCATGGCCTCGTTCAGCTCGGCCAGGCACTCGCTGTGCCGCGCCTTTTCCTTCTCGTACTCGTAGCCCGCCCGCGACGCCGCCGGCTTGGCCAGCTCGCCCAGCAGCGGCGAGGACAGCGGCAGCGGCCCCGGCCCGGCGCGCACCGAGGCCGCCGCCAGCATCAGCCCCGGCGGAGGCACCAGGCCGGGCGGCGCCGGGCCCACCAGAGCGCGCCGGGCCGTCGGGCTCTGCCGGCTGCCTTCCCCGCCGCCCGCCTCCTCGCCGCCGCGGGCCAGCCCGTTGGGCAAGCGCGGGCTGAGCGCGTAGTCGGGGCCGGCCAGGCGGGCGCGCTCGTAGCGCTCCAGCCCCGCCACCGACCCGCCTCCCGCGCCGTCCTTGGCCTGCTTAGCGCCCGGCGGCCCCGGCGACCGGCCCTCGGGCATGGCGTGGCTGCGCTTGAGCTGGCGCGCCGTCTCGATGAGCAGCTCGATGCGGTCGGCGCCCTCGAAGTTGACGCAGCCCCGGCAGACGGCCTCGCTGAAGTCCCAGATCATGGCCCAGGGCATCTTGGGCAGGTCGCACAAGTAGCACCATTGTCTGCGGGACGCCTGCACCGAAGACATCTTGGCCGACGCCCCCCGAGGCCGGAACGCCGCCGAAACGCCCCGGGCCTGGAGAGAGGCGGCGGGGGGGGGGAAGCTGGCCCGCGCGCCCGGGAAGCGGCTCCGAGCGGGGCGGGGAGGAGGCGGGTGGGGGGGGCGGGCAGGCCGGAGCGGGCGGGCGGGCAGGCAGACGAGGCGAAGAGGGAGGAAAAAAAGGGGGGGGGAAATCCCCTCTCTTCGCCTGCCCTCCTACATGGAGAAACTTACATAAGTCCCTCGCGGAGCCTGTCGGGAGATGTAGTCCTGGAACTGGAGGGAGGCGGTTTGGGCTCGCGGTGCGGCGGCGGCGGCTCTTAAAGGCGACCTGGACCCGCGACGACGCTTCCCTGCGGTCTGATGGTTGCGGAAGGGGGGCTGTCCCAGATTGTTGAGGCTTTGCAAAATAAAATAAAAATATGAGGATGTTTTTGGAGCCCCCCCCCCTCAGCCACTTGAGTACCACAGATGGAGGATTACAGTTCCCGTCATTCCTGCCGTGCGGCACTTGGGAAAAGAGGAAAAGAGGCGTTTGGCTCGCCGGTTGCACTCAAACGGGGGTCTCCAGACCTGACCGCTTTAAGACTTGTGGACTTTCAGCTCCCAGAGTTCCCCAGCAGACATGCACCTACCTGGCTAGCTGACTGGGGGATTCTGGGAGATGAAGGCCACAAGTCTGGGAGGTGACGTACCCAAGTCTTAAAAGTTGCCAAGTGTAGGGACTCCTGCACTAAAACCCCTTAAGAGGGTCTTGGGAGCGGGTCACCCAATTGAAATGCTGCCTGGGTGCTGGGAGTTTGGTACAGTAGCTGCATTAGCCGGGGATGATGGGTGCAGCAGCCACTCCCCAGGGATAATTGAGTGGACAACCAGCAGCGCCTCATAGCATCACCTCACCCTGTCCATCCTCCACAGTGGTATTCTTTTGGTCCCAAAGCTATATTGATTGAAGCAAGTAAATCTTGTGGTGCAATGGGCAGCAAATGAATTGAATAAATAACAAACAAATAAAGTCGGGGTGTCAATATTGTAACAGCTTCTTTTCCCCCAGGAACTAAAGATCCCCCACCTTCTCCCTTGCCTGCCTTCGCCCTGACGTTACAGATGTCCAAATACTGTCCCTCAGCCGTTGCCGAAGGACCAATTCAGATAACCACTTTCCCTGTAAGTCACAGATTTAATTTCCAACTTCTATCATGGGTGGTCCTGTCTCCACTGGCACCACTGCCTGTTTTTTGGAGGGTGCAGGTGAAGGTTCCGAGGCCCGGGATGTCTCTGCCCCTCAAAATGTTGTGCCTGCTCTTCCTCCGTAGGAGATCCAAGAGCCAAGAAAGAGTTAACGGGGTTTTTCAGTGTTAAGGAAAAGGGAAAATACATTACCCACTTTGCAAAGCGGCTTGAAAGTCCGGATGTTGGGCTGTGGTGCATTTCCGGCTGCTCGACTTCCTCTTTTCTTTTTTTTTCCTTTTGCAAATCACCCTCCCCTTCCCTGCAGTTCAAAGTTCAACTTTAGGGGTGCTGCTAAGGGGGTTCTCAACGGGCAGGGAAAAGGGAAAAAACAAAACCATAAAATCCACAAAGAAGAGGCAGTGATGATGCAAGCGTAACTTTTCTCGCAGCCAGAGTGAATTTCAGGGTTAACTTTCAGCCACAGAGCTGACCTACTGGCAGAGAACAGATCCAGCGTTTTTTAACCTGGTGGTTTTTTTTTTTCAAACTTGGCCACTGTGTGGGGACTTCAACTCCCAGAATTCCCCTAGCCAGGGGAATTCTGGGAGTTGAAGTCCCCAAGATCTCACAGTTGCCAATCTTGGAAAAACACTGGGTTTAGCAATTCCTCGTTGCGTTGTGCACAGGAGCTGCAGGCTCCATCCTTTGATGGACAAGTGCCAGATAAACCTGGTGAAAACGGCAGGAGGCGTTGCGCTTTGGAGGGCTGATCCAACCAAGGATCAATTTTCTCCTTCCAAAAGCCAATTTTTCTTCCAGTTTTGACTAGGGAGAAATGATTTTGGTTGTTTGTTAATGCTTTCCTAGCTTGCTTCTTGTGGGTGAAATTTAATAATAATAATAATAATAATAATAATAATAATAATAGTAATAATAATTTGCACAGACTGACTACAAGTAGTGGCATGACAAAATAGCAACAATAGTGCATTGGAAGATCTGCAAAAAATATCATTTGCCTGTAAGCAAAAACTGGTGGGATCATAAAATAGAGAAAGTCATAGAAAATGATAAAATTAAACTGCTCTGGGACTTCAGAATTCAAACAGACAAGCACCTGCAACATAACACCCCAGACTTAACAATTGTCAATAAGAAAGACAAAAAAAGTCTGGATAGTGGACGTGGTAGTTCCTGGAGACAGTAGAATAGACGAGAAAGAACTGGAGAAGATAACAAAATACAAAGACCTACAAATAGAAATAGAAAGACTGTGGCAAAAGCAAGCAAGAGTAGTACCAATAGTGATAGGCTCCTTGGGTGCAATCCCAAAACAACTGGAGCACCACTTGAACACCACTGGATTGACAAATTTGCTATTAGTCAATTGCAAAAGGCGGCCTTACTGGGAACTGCTTCCATCCTGCAACGATATCTGTAATACCATCAAACATCCATATCTGCCTATCCCAGGTCCTGGATAAGGACTCGATAGGTAGACAAAATGCCAAATCCAGTCTGAACATCTGGCTGACTGTGCGATGATCCATAATAATAATGATAATGTTGGAAGGGACCTTGGAGATCATCTAGTCGAATCCCTTGCTCTGAATCTCTTGTGCTAATTTTTACTTTTCTGACGGCAGCAGGAGAATGCTGGGATAATCTGGGATAATCCCTCTTTTTATTCCCTGCAGTATTTTCCAGTAAGTCCACCGTTTTATTATGTTTCTTCCTCCGTTGGAAGCCGGTTGCTTCGTGCCGATGTGTGGCAAGACCCATTGGCCTGAGTGCAGAGACAGTCCCCTTTCCCCCTCTTAGCCAAAGCAACGAAGCTCCATTGCTGGTTCCCCACAACAGAAGGAATAATAAATAGAATTATGGCACATTTTGTGTCTGTGGTGGAGATGGGACAGCTTTGAATTTCACAGAGTCATTCAGCTTGGGGGGGGAAAATTGACCCCTTTAATCTCCGGTGCTCCATCACTGGAGGTTTCATTACCCCACTAGGTAACATCATCAGTGCTAGAAGGGAGTGGGGTTTGTGGAAAGGAGGAGGGAGAGGAGAACTATGTGGTCCTTGGTACCCTCTGAGCTTGGTAGTTTTCTTGCAGATGTTTCATTACCCAACTAGGTAACACCATCAGTGCTAGAAGGGAGGGGGATTTGTGGAGAGCAAGAGAATGGGGAGTGTGAGGAGGAGGAGAATGATGACTATGGAGTCCTTGTTGCTCCCTGAACTTGCTTGCTTTCTTCCAGACGTTTCATCAACCAACTAGGTAACATCATCAGTGCTACTGAAACTGAATACTGATGATGTTACCTGGCTGGGCGATGAAACGTCTTGCTGGGCAGTGGAAATTCCTGTCCCAATTGCGACTGTAAGTTGAGGACTACCTGTCTGAGCAAAACCAGCAGTATGAAACATTTCCCCCCTCCCTTTTTTGAGGGGGGTGTGTGAGAATATTTCTGAAATGACCGATTTTATCCATTCTGCATCTTAAGAAGAGGTGCGCGGGAGAGCGGAATCCCCCCTCCCTTGTGGACAGCCCTACCTTTGCTCCCCACCCGTGTCCCAGGTGTGCAAGTGAGAATTTAACGAATCCTAGAGAGATCGGATTGTATGAAAATAGTTTATTGAGCTTCTGCCAGTCCAGTGTCATCCAAGGCATTTGCCACAAGGCTTTCTTCGCTACAATCTTCCGGGTTGCGGCCTGGCGTGAAACTTAACCAAAAGTTAAGTTGGTTTTCCAGCCATGGGGCAGGCTACAGGATCAATTCCCCATACAGTAGGATGGAGTGAATACGAGCGTTGCATTGTGGGAACAGAACTGCAGGAACCCTGGGTCTCGCTCAGGAATCTGTCCAGTTTACAGGTAGTTCTCGACTTACAAAAGTTGGTTTAGTGACCGTTTGAAAAAAAGTGTCTTATGACTGTTTTTCACACGACCATGGCAACATCCTCATGAACCTGTGATCTAAATTCAGACACTTGGCAACCTGACTCATATGTATGACGGTCACAGTGTCCTGGGGTCACGTGATCCCTTTCTGGTAACCTTCCGACAAGCAAAATCGACGGGGAGGCCCGATTCATTTTACAACCCTCTTACTAACTCTTAACCACTGCAATGACTTACTTCACAGCTGTGGCACGAAAGGCCGTACAATGGGGCAAAACGCACCGAACACACGTCTCCCTTAGCAACAGAAAGTTTGGGCTCCATTATGATCGTAAGTCGAGGATTACCTGTGCTATAAGGCCCGATCTTTTTTTTTTTTTTTTTCTGGATCTTTCCCAGCAAACCTTCCCTTTGGAATCAAAGACTGACATCCATAAATGGAGAAGGTGGCAGTGACACGTGGCAGCCCACCGGGCGTGGAATAAAGTTTTGCACTTAACGCTTGGACCAGAAAAATCAGCAGAGGTGACCTTGGGGACTGGCCTGGAGTGTGGCCCCTGGCACGGACGCCATGGCCCCTGGCGTCGGAAGAGGGGGCAGTGCAGAGGGGCTTCACCCTCCTTGTGGGAAGACACAGGGCAAGATGGAAGCACCCATTCCAGGGAAGCAGCCCCCGTCTGCCTTTCCTTTTTGGACAGTGGGGGGGGAGCACATCTGTCCTGGTGCTCACAAATTCTTCCAGCGTCCTCTGCGTTTCCGAGTCGGGGTCCCCGTCCTCCGCTTCGGTGCTGGAGGGACCCTGTTTGGAGATGGCCCCCAGTCAGCCCCGTCCTCTTCCTGCCCGGGAGACAACTCCGACTTGGCAGGCATGCCCTCCCGAGGAGAGGCAGTCTCTGTGCCCGGGGCTGCCGTGGGGAGACCGTATTCCCCCTGTGGGGGCAGCAGACCGTTGGGCAGGGCTGGAAGGAGGGGCAGCAGTGCCGCCACCACATCCGTGAGCCGTTCCAGGCCTTGCCGCAGGGTGTAGGTCAGCTCCCGGATGGCTACAGCCGTCTCCCTCTGAGCCTGGAGGAAATCCAGAGGGGGCTCGGCAGGCAGGTCCAGCTGGGCACGTCGGCGCCGCAGGGGGGGCGAAGTCGAAGGGCAGGGAGTGGTACCCAACAACTCTGCCGGGGAGGGTTCGGGATGCGGCCGGCAGCCTAAGCAGGACGGAGACGGAGCCAGCTGGACAATCTGCAGTGACGAAGGTTGGCCTGGAGGGGGCGGCGGCGAGTCGCGTTCCTTGGGTTTCAGCAAGCAGGAAGGCTGGGCAGAGGTCTCTGGGCTGCCGGGGCCGTTGAGCCTGGTGGGCAGATCTGTAGGGGCTAAGGAAAGAGAGTTACTGTGGTGGAATGTGGTCTGGATTCCCAGGGGCTGCATTTCAGAGGGGAAAGAGGCCGTGAAGTTTAGATGACGTTTGTGTGAGAGAAAGAGGGTGAAGACGGCTCCTCCCCAACAGTTCCCAGAATATATCTATATTTAGGCAAATAGTTTCGGGTCCTTGGTGCTCTCTGAGCTCCTCTAACCCGAGGACTACCTGTAGTTCTTCAGTTGTCTGAATAAAACATGTTGGAGTTTGTTAACCCCGCAGTTTTTTTTTTTTTTTTTTAAAGAGAGAGTTTTAAAAGAATGTGGCGGAGTTTGTAAAATCTACATTGATTGAACTGCTGGAGGGCTTTGGGCCACGCAGGTTTTTTTTTTATTTCGTTTCCTTTTTTGCTGCAGTGGATTCCCCTTTGCCAGACGTGACCCTTTCATTTCCACGGCACCAGCCACAGCAGGGAGATGCACCCGTCTCTTGGCTCTTTAAAAATTGGGGGTGAAGGGGGGGGGGACAGCTGGCTGGGCTCAAACTTTCCCTGAAGTCTCCACAACTGCCCCATGCCAATATATAGGAAAAGGGCTTCCTTTTCTTTGGAGAGGAAGTTAGACAGTTGCTTACAGCAGTGGTTCTCCACCTGTGGGTCGGGACCCCATTTGGGGTCGAACGACCATTTCACGGGGGTCGCCAAACAACGCAGTCTGCCATTTTTTCCCCCCTTTTCCTTAGCTGTGCTACTCCCTTTTATTCTATTGGCTTTTGAAAGCCAACAGAATAGACTCTCTTGAATAGAGCCTGATTCTATTGGCTTTCCAAAGCCAATAGGAATTTTCCAGGCTGTCTCTGCCCTGCTGAGCCCACCCAAAGTCCCATTCTGCAAACGGTGCTGCACCAGTTGAGTAGTCCTTGACTTACGACCGGTTGGGGGTCGCGGCATTAAAAAGGTTGAGAACCACTGGCTTACAGTAACAAACCAGCTCCAAACCAATGTAGCATTCAAACAGGCCGTTTCCCAAACCACCAATAATAAAAAAAATAAGCAGGAGCAGCCAGAATTTGAAATCTTAGTGGGAATGAATAATTCAACCCGGTTAATTAAACGGTGTTCGAATATTTGAGGGGCTGTTCCAAAACCCCTGAAGGCAGGAAAAAAGAAGCAAGGGATGGAAACTAAATCGAGGAGAGAAGCAACCTGGAACTCAGAAGAAACTTTCTGACAGTTAGAACAATTAAACACGTGGAACGACTTGCCTCCAGAAGTGGTGGGTGCTCCATCCCTGGAGCTTTTCAAGACGAGACTGGACAGTCAATTGTCTGAAATGCTACAGAATCTGGGCAGGGGGTTGGACTAGAAGACCTCCAGGGTCCCTCCCAGCACTGTTCGTCTGTTAGATAAAACTCTTCTGTCGGCTTGTCAGGAGAAGGGAAGCACTTGACCCATGCTCAGAGGCACCCCGACAAGCCTGTCGCCTTTGATCAGGTGACATCTGGGCCCCTCTTTCATTTCAAAACCAGCTCCAGCTCCTAGCAACTGTCTTCTCTCCCCCCCCCCTCCCCAGGACCCAGTTCGGTCCAAATGCCAACCTCCTCTTGCCCAGTTGGTCCAGAGCAGGGGTAGGCAACCTTGGCTCTTTTACGACTCGTGGACTTCCAACTCCCAGAATTCCTGAGCCAGCATGAGGGAAACTTTGGCCCCTTCATGACTTGTGGACTTCAATTCCCAGAATTCCTCAGCCAGCTGTGCTGCCTCAGGAATTCTGGGAGTTGAAGTCCACGAGTCGTAAAAGAGCCAAGGTTGCCTGCCCCTGGTCCAAGGTGTGCCTTCTCCCTGATGCCCACCTGACCCTTTGGCCCCAGGATCGCAGCTACTCACCCGTGCCCTGCTCCGCTGCCGGTTGGTAACTGGGAGCCCTGCAGCCGGACGTGCCCTGCAAGACCCCAGACTCTGCCCCTCCTGGCCCTGGCCTCAGGCCAGGCCCCAGGATGGCGAACAGCGTCTCTTCTTCGGCCGAGAAGGCCTCGTCGCCGGCGCTGCCCACCCCTTGGGTGGAGTGGGGCACCCTGGCCAGCTTCTCCTTGGTGCGCCTCTTGAAGTCATTCCAGCGCTTCTGCACCTCCTGGCCGGTGCGCTTCCAGCTGGTGATGCCGTTGATCTTGCCAGCGATGCCCTCCCAGACGCGCCGGCGCTCGGCCACCGTCACCCGCCGGCTCTGGCTGCCGTAGAGCTTGCCGTAGTTGGCGCGCACTTCCTGGATCAGGATGTGGTTCTCCTCATAGGAGAAACGAGGCTTGCGAAGGCGGGTGGTCTCCTCGCTGTCCCCAGGCATCTCAAGGGGGGGCAGAGGAGGGGTCCTGCCCTCGGGGTCCTCCAGCCCAGCGCCTGGCAGTTGGCCGAAGGGGGTGGGCCCTGCCAGGGCTTCAGCTGGGACCTGCGGGGCTGGCAGTGACAGGTGGGGGGGTGGCAGCTGATGCTGGGTCTTCTGCTCCAGAGGGAGAGTGAAAAGCTCGTTCGGGCATCGCTGGGCGGGAGTTTGGCAGCCTGCAAGCTGGCACGGGGGACCCCCTCCCAAGAAGAAAGCATTGGGGGGGAGAGAATCTGCTTCACAGGATGCTCTCTAGGGCCACCTTCGCCTTTGGCGCCCCCCAGCTCCCCATGAATGCCCACTCAAGGCTGCCCGCCTGCATCTGATGCCAGTCTCTCTCTCTCTCTCTCTCTCTCTCTCTCTCTCTCTCGCCTCCCTCTCTCCGTCCCCCTCGAGCATGCTCACTGCTTAGCCGCACTCCCAGCAGGCCGTGGGGGCATCCGGGTGGTTTCCATAGCAACCACGGCCTGCTGCCTGCCCCTGCCCATCCCCCACCCCCACCTTCCTCCGGACGGTGCTGCCGCCAGTTGGCAGCTACTCCGAGTCACAACCTGCAGGTGGGGGGCCCTCTGGGTCCCATCCCACCCACCCCCAAGTGGGGGGCAAAAGGCATGGAAAGCAGAGCTTGGCACCCCCAGTTATAGGGGTAAACCCTTTGGAGGATGGGGGGTGGGGTGGGGAAAGAGGATTTTGTCATTTGCTTTTGCAGAAGTGGGTCTCTCTCTGCTGCTGGGAATCCAAGTTGCCTTTAATCTCCTCCAGCTGATCTTCAGCCTGCAGCGACCAAGGTCTCATTTGGTCCCCATTTCCCCAAAATCGGGGATTCTGCAAAGATGCTAAAATAAAATAAATAAACTTTAAAATAAAATAAAATAAATAAATAAAATAAGATAATAAAAAATAAAATAATAAAATAATAAATAAATAAAATAATATAAAATAATAAAATAAAATAAAATATTGGCCTATTGTTGGTCAAGAGGCCAGCAGGTGGCAGTGCTGGAGCGGACTAGCATGCAAACTTAATTCTAGGCTAGGATCCCTGTTTTTTTCATTTTAGAGATGTCATTAAACTTACTATAGTGCCTTTTTTTCTCAACCATGGCAACTGGATGCTTTGTGGACTTCAACTCCCAGAATTCTGGCTGGGAATTCTGGGAGTTGAAGTCCATATAGTTTCAAGTTGCCAAGGTTGAGAAACACGGTAATAGTGTCTGTATTTAACATGGTCCTCCTTCGTCGACGTTAATTTTTTAATGAATGCATTTAAACTTGATGTTAAACTTTATTTTGCTTATTGTGTATTAAAGATGGATGGATGGATAAATAGATGCACAGAGGTACTTCTTGACTTACGACCCCGAGTGACCCCAAAATTTCCAGCTATTAAGTGAATTTTGCCCCATTTTGTGATCATTTTTGCCACCGTTGTTAAGTGGATCCTTGCAGTTCTTAAGTTAATATTGGTGTTAATTGAATCTGGCTTCCCCATTTTACTTCACTTGTTAGAAGATCACAAGAGCGGATCACGTGAGCCCGGGATATTCCAACTGTCACAAATACATGCCAGTTTCCAAGTGTCCAAATTTTGATCACATGACCAGCATTTAAAAATACTTTATTATCGTCTTACGGTTCAGTTTATGAGATCTCACCTTACTTGCCAACTCCTTCCGGGTCTCCAGAGTTGCCTCACCAGTGAGATGGTGGGCACACACATTTAATAGATAAATAAAGTCAGTACAGTACTTGGCCAACATTCCAGTTTGTTTGCAAGCTTGCAAAGATGATGCGCGAGAGCCAACTTAAGGCAGAGTGGATAGATGAAGGTGCCTGCAGGGTATAAGGTCAAAAAAGTCAAAATGGTGGCCACAAGCAGGCCATTGTTCAAAAGCCTAGGCTTCAAGTGCAGAGTTGGGCCACCGTCGTGACTTTTGAAACCCCTTTCCCATTTTTAAATGCTGAATATTCAAATATTTGACAGATTTAAAATCCCAAATGATCAGTGCTGGCAGGACTTCAGGATCTCAGTGCCAGATTTCGGAGAGCAGGAATCTCTTTGCGACAGCTGTTAGGAACAATTTGGACATCTTCAAAGGTCCTGGATCATTTTGCTCAATTAATAAATGTATAATTTGTTGGATCGGAATCTCTTTATCTCGTTTTAGGAGTTATGCGGAGACAGATCACGTGTTAGGCCCAGGTTTACGTACAGATATTTTAAAAAATCGGAAGGATTTATGAAGATTTCCCGCCATGCTTTCCTTCCGGGGAAGGTGCAGGCTGTGAAATTGGACAACCAACGTGTGTGAGTGTGTCTTTTCTTTTCTTTTCCTTTGGAGCCAAAATTAATTCTCCAGCAAGTCTAGGAGGGGGCCAGGTGGATAGAAAGGAAGGGTGGATCCCCTGGGTGGATCCCTCAGCCCCTATCAGGAAATGGGGGGATGAGGGTGGTGAGGAAGGAGGGGGAGGTCCCCCTTGGAGGATGGAGGATGGGGGTTCCTGGGGGGGGGGCTCAGCTTCCTTTGCCTGGCATCAGACAGCAGGACCAGGGGTGGGGGGCTCTGGGGAGTTTGTGGAGCGGGAGGGGGGCCCGCGTCCAGGCTGCCCGGAGTCCAGATGTGTCAGCCACGGACAATAGGCGAGCAGGAAAGGACAGACAGATGGGCCACCCAAGACAATGGCTGGCCGCTTAACATTCAGAAGCTGTTCTCTGCTGACTTGCTGCCCCCCCCCCTTCGCTATTGAGCCGGCCAAAGACTGCCAGGATGAAAAGCCCATCTGCTCCAGGCGCTTCCCCGCCCCCCCCCCATTCACTTGAGAAGCAAAGAGGGCCTGAAAGAGAGACTGCTGGGGAAGCCTCCCCCCCTTTCTCTTTTCCTAGGGTGGCAAATGGTGTCCATTGGGGGGGTTTCAACACAGCTCTAGGCATGTGAATCAATCAATCTTTCTTTCTTTCTTTCTTTCCTTCCTTCCCTTTTCTTTCTTTTTCCTTCCTTCTCTATTTCTACTTCCTTCCCTCCCTTCCTCTTCTTTTCTCTCCTTCCTTCTCTCTTCCATTCCCTCTTTTCCTTCCTTCCTTCCTTCCTTCCTTCCCTCCCTCCTTCTCTTCCTTTCTCTTCTTCCCTTTTCCTTTTGCTCCTTCCTTCTTCCCTTCCTCCTTCCTGTTTCTCTTTCCTTTCTTCTTTCCTTCCTTCCTTTTCTCCCTCCCTCTTCCTTTCTCTCCTTCCCTCTTCCTTTCTCTCCTGCCTTTTTTTTCTTCCCTTCTTCCTGTTTCTCCTCCTCCCTCCCTCCCTCCCTCCTTCCCTCTCTCCCTTGTTTATAGCCCTGAAAGTCCGTAGCTGGGAGCAGGATCGGGGGCCAAATGTATCCCCAGCCAGGATTTGCTAAGTAGTTCAGCATCCCCATTTCAAGCTCGGCTGGACAAGATGCTGAGCTCCTCAGGAAAAAAAAAAAAAAAAAAAGCAGTTCATTTATTTTTGTGCTTATGTGTGAGGTCGGATCTGTGGAGCAAGTAAAAAGAGAGAGAAGGGGGGGGGATTAATGGGCAGCCTGTGCTATAAATGTCCAGCATCAAAAATCTCCGCTTTTCACTGCAGATAGAAAAAGAAGGCAGAGAAAGTCCTCCACTGAGGACCGAAACCGAGCCCAAAATTTCTCTCGCTCGGCGAGAGAGCAGCTGAGGGAGCTTTGCCCCACTTTATGGCCGTTCCTGGCCACGGTCGTGAAGCAAGTTCCTGCAGTTGTTTAATTAGTGACAAGGTTGTTAAGTGAATCGGGCTTCCCCATAGACTTGGCTTGTCAGGTCGTCAAAGGGGATCAGGTTTCCCCCCCCCCCGGACGCTACTGCGACAGTCATAAACGCGAGTCAGTTGCCAAGTGTCTGAATTTTGATCACAGGACCGTGGGGATGGGGCAAGAGTCGCGTGAAAATTGGTCCTAAGTCCCTTTTTTTCAGCGCCATCGTCACTTTGGCCCGTCATTAAACAAACTGTTATAAGTAGAGGACCAGCTATATTTGTATCCGAGGAAACCGGGGCCTGAAACCCCAGTTTGGGTTAAGGTCTTTCGTAAAGTCTGGGCCTGTTGTTGTCTATTTTGTGAGTCCCAGTCGGGCACAGCCTGCAGGGAAGGGGCGGTTTGATAACCCGCGCAGGACAAAATTAAGGTTGTGTCCCTCGGACGGAGGAGGCAGGCCAGAGAGGGGGGACTAGGAAGCAGCTGGAGGCGCCTTCCTCAGTTTCCCTTGCGGTCTATTTTAAAAGAAAATGTTCCTGGGAATATTCTAGGCCTCTCTGCAACGGCATCTTTCGGGGGACCCAGCGTGGAGCCCCCAGGAGGCAAAATTAGGGATGCCCCCCCTGGGAAACCAGGGCTGGGTGAGAAACAGCCCCCTTAAAGTGACATCCCCCCCCCCATGGCCTTGTCAGCTTCTGCAAGATGGAGGTTTGATGGTGGGAGCATCTCACCTCCAGCGCTCTGGGCGTCTCCCTTCAGCCTCCTAAGAACCCTGCGAGGTAGGCCCGGGCGGCACAGCACCAGAGGGACGGAGGAGGAGGGGGGGAGAAAAAAAGCAGGGGGGATGGACGGCACACTAGAGGACAGACAAGCAGCCTCCCCCCCCCCAAACCGCCTTTTCCTTTCCCCACCGGCTCTGCCCTCCGCCCCCTCCCCCCCACCCCCGGCAGCTGCCTCTTCTGTCCTCCCCCTTCCCCCCCTCCCCTCCCCTCCCGCCCAGCTGCGTCCCCCTCCCGGGAAGAAGAGCGCCTCTCTCTCGTTCCGTGCCACTCCACCGCCCCCCCCCCCCGCCTTTCACTTGCCAGCTCCTGGCAGCCAATCTGCTCGGGGGGGGGGGACGGAGAAAGGGTGGGTGGGTCTCCGCGTCCACGTCAGGGGGGTTGGGCTGCTCCCTCGGCCGCCAGCCCCCCCCTCCCCTCCCCTCCCCACCCCCTCCACCCCTCCCCGCCGGCTGCCAAGAGCGATGCGGGGAAAGCGAAGCCGCCGCCGCCGCCGCCGCTGCCGCTGCTGCTGCCGCCCTCCTCTCGCGCTCGCTCGCCCTTTCCCAACGCGCTTCGGTGGGTTTCGCTCCCCTCGCCCCCTCCCCGCCCCGCTCCCCGCTTCCCTCCGCCGCTGCCGGGGCTCCCCCGACGCCCCTCCGTCCGCTCCCCACCCCCGTCTCCCCTCGCCAGGCGCCTAAGTGAAGAGGGGACCCCCGGGGCGCGTGGGTAGGTGGGCTTTCTCTTCTCCTTGGCTGCGCCCCTCCTTCCTTTGCGGGTGGTGGTGGGGGGGTTCGATCTCCAGCACCCCCACACCCCGCTTTTCCTGGGGGCAGGAGGGGAGGCTGGAGAGAGAGAGAGAGAGAGAGAGAGACTCAGAAAAGGACTGAGTCGCTCTGGGGAGCCCCCCCCCAATTCCCGTCTCGACCCTGCCCCGGGTCCGTTGCACCTGGATGCCTCCGCTCTTCCTCAGCTGGGCACACCTCCCTCCGCCTTCTCCCCCCCTCCCTAAAAGCTGAGCATCTTTCCCCCCCTCCCCACCCCCACACCTCCCCCTGCTGGAGTCTCCCGGGTACGGCGGGGGGGGGGGAGTCCTCCGCGCCCTCGGCTGGAAAATGCTGGCAGGTGGATCGGTCCATCAGAACGGGCTCTTTCCTTCGGCCCCCCCGCAGCCGCCGTCGACGCCGTCTCAGCCGCTGCCGCAGCCGCCAGGGGGGCCCCAGCCTCAGCAGCCCCCCCCAGCCGCCCCGCAGCCCCCCATGGATTCGGATCCCCCCGACTCCAGGAAGAGGCCCTTGGAGACCCCCACCGAAGCCATCAGCACCAAGAGGAGCAATACGGGAGGTGAGGCCGGCGCGAGCAGGCTGCGGGGGAAGACTTGGGAGGGGACGCGGGGGGGGGGGCGCAGACCGGGGTCGAGGCTTGCGGTGAAGCGGGGGGGGGGGGGGGGGTGTCGGCTTAATCTAAAGATGCAGGAAATCAACGGGAAAGACCCTTCCCCATCCAAGGCGGCTTCCCAACCTACAAGGTGAACCGCCTTCCCTGGGCTGGGGTATATGGGGAGGGGGGGGTTGTGTCTGGGAATTCCGACAGGGACCCCTGGCTCCTTCAAAGACCCTCCTTTCTCCCCAAATAGGCTCCTCTCTCCCTGACACCCCAAGTCTTTGCTGCAAAAGAGTCTTCTCCCCCCCCCCCGAATCTCTTCAAAAGAGGGGGGGGCAAACAGGCTAGCTGGACAGGTCTCTCTTTCTCTACCAGGGCATCAAAGCCCCTTGGATCTATTTTTTCTCCCCCCCCAACCCAATTTGACTCCTCTCCTCTTCCCCCACCCCTTCATTTCCTTCCTCTTCTCTTTCTTCATTTCTCCCCCTTTTTTGGGGGGTGTGATTTCTTCTCCCAGCCTCCAATATGTGGTTTCCCCCCTCCCTCCTTCACAGCCCCCCTCCCCACAATTTACACCCTCCAGGATCTTACTTGGATCCAAAGAGGATTTTTCTCTCTTGGGCTCAAGCAGCAGCCCTGGAAGGGAAGGCTTGGGTGAATCGGGCCCTTCCCAGCCTTTCTCCAGGGAAAGCGTCTCGGCTCCCACCTTCCGCCTTTCCTGCCTGGAAAGGGGTGTGGATGTGTGTGCACACAAGGGGTGTGGGTGTGTGTGGACGCACACAAAAGAGGACCCACACAAGCACACACACCCCTCTTTTCCCCAGCCCTGGATTCACCTCAGCCCTGGCACAGCTGGCGGTGTCAAAATGGAGTCGGGTTGTCTGCTTAGGAAAGGAAGGGAGTGGAAAAATTAAATTATTATTTTATTTTAATTTTTTTTTTTTTTTTTTTTTTGGCACCCAGAGGGACTGTGGAAAACCTGTCAGCCCCCTTTCTTTCTCTCCCCCCGCCCCCGCCTCTGCAGCAACAGCGGGGAGGAAATGGAGAGGGGAAGGATGTGAAAATGGGAACAAAAACAAGGATGCGAAAGGGACCGAGTGATCCAGGGATTTCTGGGCAAGGAAGGAGGGACGATGCCAGCTAAGAATCTTTTTTGGGATGTGCTGGTTTTATTTGCTGCTTTTCTGAAATGGGGGGGGGGAAACTGCTTTGAAAAGGATTGGCTTTGAGGTGTGGATTTTAATCATCAGGCTGTTTAAAAAAATAGGAATATTTTAGTAATCCCTTCCTTCCTTCCATCCATCCATCTGTCCATTCTTCCCTCCTCTTTTAGTCCAACAGAAGAATTTAGCAGTTAGTTTATGTGTATTTTCTACTCATTATTCCTCTTCCTCCCCTTCCTTCCTTCCTTCCTTCCTTCCTTCCTTCCTTCCTTCCTTCCTCCTCTTCCTTCCCTCTCCTCCTCCTTCTCCCCAATAGGAGAATTAGCAGTCAGTTTATGTCTATTTTCTACTCATTATTCCTCCTCTTCTTCCTCCTCCCCTTCCTTCCTTCCTTCCTTCCTTCCTTCTTCCCTCCCTCCCTCCCTCCCTCCTTCCTGCCTTCTTCCCATTCCCTTCTTTCTCCCTCCCTCCCTCCCTTTCTTTCCTCTCCCCCCCCCCACCGGCTGAGCTAGTTTCTGTGAAGGGCAACTTCAATTCTGTGAGGTTTCAAACACTGTGTGTGTGTTTGTGTGTGTGTGTGTCTTCCTCCCCCGAGCTCAGAATAGACTCCTTCTTATCATGATGGTGATTACATCGTGATTGCATCTGGGTCTGTTTTATTGCTTCGAATGATGATCGGGCTGCAGCGGCGCCCACCGAAAGGCGTTGAAACGCGTGGCTGCCCAGGCAGGCAGGGAGTCAGCGCTGACAACCCCCCCCCCTCGCCAGGCAATTAACATTTGGCGATGCTGATCGGGAACTGCAGCGTTAGGGTGGAAAGCAATAAATATGGCTGGGAAACAGCCGTGGGTTCCTGCAGGAAAAGGTCCTGCTTTGATGATGATGATGATGATGTTCGGACCAGAGAGATCTGAAATAAATAGGGCTAGGAGAGGAGGCCTCAACAGCCAATGGGGACTTGGCTATTCAGGCCTGGACATGAAAACATATGAAGGATGGACGGTGGCAGGATTTGGGTTTGGCTAGTCTAGAGAAAAGAAGGAGGGGGGGGGAACATTCCAGTATTTGAGGGGCCACCCCAAAGAAGAGGGCGTCGAACTATCCTCCAAAGCACCTGAGGGCAGGACAAGAAATAAGGGATGGAAACCGAATCAAGGAGAGAAGCAACCTAGAACTAAGGAGGAATTTCCTGACAATGAGAACAGTTAACCAGTGGAACACCACTTAGCTCCAGAAGTTGTGGGTTCTCCATTGCTGGAGGTTTTTAAGAGGAGACTGGTCAGCCCCCTGTCTGAAATGGTATAGGGCAGGGGTTCTCAACCTTGGCAACTTTAAGACTTGTGGACTTCAACTCCCAGAATTCCTCAGCCAGCTTTGCTGGCTGAGGAATTCTGGGAGTTGAAGTCTACAAGTCTTAAAGTTGCCAAGGTTGAGAACCCCTGGTATAGGGTCTCCTGCTTGATCAGGGGGTTAGACTAGAAGGCCTTCAAGGTCCCTTCCAGCTCTATTCTGATTGATTGATTGACTTGAGGAAGGAAGAAAAGACAGGCCAGAAAGACGGGTTCCCGGTTGGGTGGCCGTCCCAAGCAGCCTGCATAGAGATGATGAAGGAGGAGATGAAGCTGAGTTCGCCTGCGGAAAGCAGACCGTGGTGTATCGAAAGTGCTTTTTATTTTGAAAGGCAACTGGACTGATTTTTATTTTATTTTTATTTTTCATCAGTTGCAGATTTATCAGCTTCCAGGATAGGAAGCAAAACGTATTCTTCTTCCTCCAAAACAATAAAAATAAAAAATTCAGTCTAGTTGCCTTTCAAAACAAAAAACAAAAAACCACACAACACTTTGTGTGATGACCTGGATGACCGAGAGTCTTCATAGACATCAGACTGACTGTGGTGGTTAAAAGCGCCCGGCTGGCCCTGCCTCAATTTTGCTTTTATTGGGGGGGGGGGTCAGCCTGGGTGACGTTGGACGGATTCCAGGATGGGAGAAGAAGGGAGTGAATTGCAGGGCACAATGGAGAGGCGGGCGGGAGGGAACACACCGAGATGAGATGCGTAGTACCTAGCGTGTGTGCGCACGTTGCAACGGACAACGGATGGTGCTGGAAATTTGCAAGGGGGAAGGCCAGACAGGCCTCATGGCCCAGCCCGGAGGTCAGTCAGCCTGGAGGAGGGGGGGGGTCTTTGAGGAGCATCTGTGCATGTGTGCCTTTGCGCCGCCCTGAACCCAGAGGGAGTGAAGCTCAAACCGGGTGCGACTTTTTAGCCTGGATCAAGTTAGGGGTCTGGCTTTTTTTAAAGGGAAGGTCGCTGGAGCATGTCGGAAGGGAGAAATAGGAAGGAATGCAAATGATCGGATTAATTCTGGCTTGGCGTGGCCGGCCGTTAATCCCAGCGCCAGCTTCATGGATGGGAAAAAGCACCCCTGGGACCAGGCGGTCCCCCCCCCCCCCGACAATGGGCAGCCAGGCCTTGCTGGAGCAGGGCAGAGACGGCGTGGCACCATCGCCAGCTGGGCTGAGCCAAAGGAAGAGCTGGAGCGGGGGGGGGGGGCCAAAGGAGCCTGGGAAACCAGATCTCGGAGTTTGTGGTCACAGGGGCTGTGGGTGGGGAAAGGAGGGCAAAGTCTAGGGCCAGGCAGAAGATCCGGTTGAGGGACTCTGGAAGATGGATTTTGAGGGACATTTTGAGCAAGGAAACTCCTCGGCAGCCCTCCGAGACGAGGTGGGATGGTGGAGTTCCTGACATCCCAGCCTGACCTTGCCTTGGGGGGTTTCTCCTTCATGCTGGTGGACAGCTCAGATCTTTGACGGTCCTCCAAGAAGCCAAGCGGGAACAGCCCGTTCTTGGCTGGTGCAACAGGACGCTGCTGCTTCTCTCAAAATGGCTGCAGAGGCGACAACTCCCCAGGCAAAGCTGGCTTACGAGGGGAGAGGAGACCCACAGACCAGGTCCAAGGGCGGAAGAGAAGATGTCCCTGTACAGCCACCATCACCACCAGCAGGTCCTTCACCTTTTAGAGGGGGTGTGGGACTGAATTAATACGGAGAGAAAGTACAGGTCCTGGCAACACAGGGGAGCCCTTTTCACAAAGAGGTGGGAGCAGAGGGTAAAGAGCTGAGGAATCAACCACCTTTCGAAGTTTGGGAGAGGAAGCAACTCTTCCCGCCGTGGTTGTCGCTGTGATTGTTGTTGCTTTCGAGGCGAGATGCTTTCAACCCCCAAATCCCAACCAAAGAAGCAATTAGTGGTTTGCGCCAAGAAGCGTAAGTCCTGCGTGCAGCAAACTTAAACTTAACAGGATTCCCGTTTTCTGGGTCTGCAATGCAAAATAATCAAACGGGCCGGATCTGCACTGGATTCAACGCTACTCATGTGCACACAACCTTCCCCCCCCCTGCCAACATTGGATAAAACTAACCCAGTTTGTTGAAGTCCACACATCTTAAAATTGGTCACCACGATGTAAAAAAGAGGTTGAGACTCTAGAAAGAGTACAGAGAAGAGCAACAAAGATGATCAGGGGACTGGAGGCTAAAGCATATAAGGAACGGTTGCTGGAATTGGGTATGTCTAGATCAGGGGTAGGCAACCTCGGCTCTTTTATGACTCATGGACTTCAACTCCCAGAATTCCCGAGTCAGCACAGCTGACTCGGGAATTCTGGGAGTTGAAGTCCTTGAGTCATAAAAGAGCCGAGGCTGACTCGGGAATTCTGGGAGTTGAAGTCCATGAGTCATAAAAGAGCCGAGGTTGCCTACCCCTGGTCTAGTTTAACGAAGAGAAGGACGAGG